AAGCAACTTAGATGAGACTTCAGCTTACATACTTTGGGTATATTATCAGAAAGGGATCGTTCTTGGTAAAATACATTTTTCTGGGGAAGGGAGAAGGTCAGTGAGAAGATATTCAACTGGATGGAATGGCAGATAGTGACTTTAGCAATGGGGTAGAACATACTGGAGATTGGGAGGATGGTGTAGGAGAGGACATGGTTCAGATCCGTTCTCCACAGGATTGCCATAAGTTATGTTTGATTTGGCAGCATCTTACATCAGAGAGCCAGACAATGACTAACGATGATAAAAGATTCAATGCCTTTGAGTTGTGGTGCTGGAGAAGAGTCTTGAACATACACCATGGACTGCCAAGAAAGCAAATAATTCTGTCTTAGAGAGAGTGAAACAAAGTTTCTTCTTGGAGGCTAAGATTCTGAAATTCTTTCTCACATACTTTTGACATGTGGCCAGGAGGGACTGGTCCTTGGAGAAGGACATCATGCTTGGAAGAGTGGAGGGACGGGGCAGGAGCAGAAGACCCTGGATGAGATGGATTGTAACTGAGGCAATGGGGGAAGGTGTGTCAGAATCAGGGAGACTGGCTCAGGACAGGGCTGGCTTCAGAGCTGTTGTACTTAGAGTTGCTATGAGTCTCAGGTGACTCGATGACACATAATAACAACAAACTCTGCTGAGCTATCATCACCATTGAGAGTGCAACTACTGATCTCTCCCTATCTGGAACAAAGAAGGGAGGTGGGGGAAAAAGAAGAAAAAAGAAAATATGTATAGAAACAATTGGTCTAAAGCACTAACGGATCATGTAAACCTTACCTTTCATGACTGTGAGCCTAGAAGAACTAGAAGGTGCCCAGCTACCAAGTTTGATTATTGTAAAAGGATAGTGATTTAAGTCCTGGGCTAGAGTCTGGGGAAATGAGGGGGAAAATGAAAAACATAAAAATGACCAGACTTATTGGTCCAACAAAGACTGGTGGAAACTCCAAAATTCTGGCCCTTAATCGTCCTTTAAATCCATAAGAAAATATACCCCTGTGATTGAATTTTCAAGCAAATAACAGGTCAACAGTAACATCAGGGATGTATTTGTTTCTTACAATATTCAACCATATAAGATATAAAGGACAGTATTTGCTCAAGGATGAAGCTCAGAGGCAGAAAGAGGTAGGATAGAAGGATTAGTGGAAAGGAGAATCACAGGAGGAATTAAGAAGAGAGGAATTACACTGTAGGTGTTGTAACTAGTGTTACAAAATAAAATGCATTTGAATGATTAATGGAAAATCAATTTGCTTTGCAAACTTGCACTCAAATAACAATTAAAAAAATACCAATGCTATCTATGACACCCACACTTACCACTTCTACACTCTGCACATTGTTTGCCTAACACTGAGATGTAAGGAGTCCAATAAAAACACAAGAATGTAAAAATGTAGTTGGTTGACCTCTTATTTATGATTGAAAGCTGTGAGCAGACACTATACAATAAGCAATTCCATGGCCTCTATAACTTTCTTACAGCAGATGTAGCAGTACCCAATATTCCTTAAACATCCTTTATAAGTTTAACTTTATAAGTTAAAAACCAAAAGCAAATGTGAGGTCCTATGCTTTAAAAAGTCCCTGTAGTGCAAAATGCTATGTGGGTTCATTTGCACTTCAAGATGAAATGTTTGTAAAATAAGCTCCTTAGTATTTTACTAGCCTACTTAGATCCACAACCAACATCCTTCATACCAGCAGCCAAGAAATAAAAAGATAACTGAGGAGGACCTGAAGCATTTGCTGCAGAGGGTCAAGGACTGCAGCCTACAATATGGATTGAGGCTCAATGTCAAGAAGACAAAGATTCTCA